ATTAGGCAACAAATCATTGATATGTTCATCAATCTTCTCGGATTTAGAATCGTCAAAACCTTTCAGATTTTCCCTTTCTGTATCTAGGCTTCCCTTCATGAAATAGTACCCATTTTCAAACCTGTAAAAACCTCTATGTTAACAAGAAGCCAACAATAATAATAAAAACAAATTAAAGAATAACTCCCTCATTTTCTTATCCTTTTTGACTTGTTGGAGAAGTGGAATCAAACCCTCTGAGGGTTCTTAACTTTATCATCACTTCACTAATGTATTCGATCGCAATCAACACTAGGATTAAGATTCACCAATCTTAACTCACATCAAGTAACTTGATCTTTGAATATGATTATATCATTAACGCACAAGTGTGTTCTATTTAATTATGGTTGAAGAACACGAGTTTTTGCTTTGAGATACTTCAATAGAACATCAACTGATCAGAACTCACTGGAAATGGTGAGAAGACTTTAGAACTTGCTACTGCAAGTTCGTCGGACATAGATAGATTTTTCTCAAAGCATCCATTCGTCCCTTAATGATTTTCTTTACTTATGTAAAGACCCTTCCAATGCATGAACGTGTACCTAAAATATGGAAGTTTTTCATGGTAATAATAATATAAAATATGTTTGATATAATTAAATTAAGGAAAGTTTTAAATTGGTAAAATAATCTTTCATTCTTTTAATTATTTGACTAATCAAACCAGCCCAATGAGGTAAATATATATTTCTGTATATGTATAAAGTATGTTTGATATGGTCAATAATTAAATTAAGAAAAAATTTGATTTGTTAAAACAATCTTTCCTTATTTTAATTATTTGACAAATCAAACATATCCAAGATGGTAAGTATATGTTCATGTATATGCCGCTATAAGGTAGGTAAATATTGTACCTCGTTTAGGTTTTGAAAACCTTAAAAAATCATAGCCAATAATCTATTAACTTGTAGCATCCAATCAGTTTTGTCCGACTGGCTTATCTTGTTTGGACTACATCAGTGAACACGTTTTTGACACGTGTTGACATTTTAAAATCATTCTAATTTAAGCAAACCAATAAATAAAGAATAAGTAAAAAATATAAAATATATTTTACTTACAGAAGTCATTTGAATTGGGGATAATTAATGTTACTACTAGGGATGGACAAAAACCGACCGAACTCACCCAACCCCACCCGACCGGGTTGGGTCAATTTTTTTCTATTTTTCATTGGATTCGATTTTTGGCAATTCTAAGCGGGTCGGTTGGTTCAGGTTATGGGTTAACCCATCAAACCCAACAAAAACCACCCGACCCTCCAATTAAACAAAAAAGATACCGATTTTTTGTCAAACTAAAACCCTAAACTTGGACTCATTTTCCCTCAAATGCACAGCCAAGCCAACAGCCGACTTCTCTCTTTCCTATCTTCTTTCTTCATATTTTGCCATTTTTTCTCTCTTTACCGGTTTTCACTTTCCATCAGTGTCCAAGAATTCTTGAGTTCTCCAAGGTAAGTTTGCAATTTATTTATTTTCGGCTTGTTTAATTAATAACTATTAGTTTATAAGAATTTGGACCAAATAATGATTATTGGTAATGGAATTTAGAATTTTATGTACAGACCTGTGGGTTCTTCCGTGTAAGCTTCATATTTTGCTTTGATGCAATGGTTTGTATTTATTTAAAAATTTAGTGATTTAAATTAAGATAGATGACGTGAAAATTTGTAGGAAGTAATATAGTAGATTATGGCAGAAATTTTATTTTATTTTCTTTCCATTTTCATTTTTAGGATTGTCTTTTATTCCTATGTGTTTCAATGTGCTTTTGTTTACTTGTGTTAATGATGCCTAGTTGTTTGTACTGAAATTTGACTTTTGTTCTTTCATAGTGATAAACAAAGGCTAAGTAGGAAACATCTGATCAAATCCTAAACCTAAGAAACCAGTAAATAAATATAATAAAATCTTAGGAAATCTTGTAAATAATCCCTATTAACTTGTCCCAAAATTAGAATCTGAACATGGGATACTAATAGGAAAATGTGTTGGTGTGCATGGCGACTGTGCCATTATGATACAGAAGTAAAAGGCTAGAGATTAAAACAGCAAAAGTTTATGTATTAGTGCACAACCTAATCTCAGACCCGAACTAATCAAGTTATTATTTCCGTGCAGGCTTTGAATACTTCTAGTTTTCCATCAACACATCCTACACCACAATCCCTCTCTGGAACCAGTGTTGCCACATGACCTCATCTGCCTCAACACCTTCCTGTACATCCCTCTCTAGAACTAGTGTTGTATGTGCTAAGATGGACACAGACACAGACATAGCCATAGCCACATATGCAATATTATTACTTTTTTGTATTGCATTAATACTTTCAATTAAATATATCTATTTGCTATTTTTGTAATGTTTGTGGAATATGCTGGTGGAAATGGATGAATGTGAAGTACATAGCACAGAAGCTCCATCACATGACACAAATTTGCAAGCGGGTCTTCCTCCACGTGCACCGTCAACATTAGGTAAACGGAAATCTAATAGATTAGATTCATTTGTTTTGGATCACTTTACACTATTGGGCTCAAGGGATAATCCACATATTAGGTGTAAATATAACTATTGTAGAATAGATTTTGCTTGTGGTACTAGCACATTGGGCAATCATTTGACAAATAGTTGTAAGAAGTATCCAAATAGATTGGTAGATAAAAAGCAAAGAATCATCTCTTTTCTATTGTTTTTCTCCCACCACCCTCTAATCTTATTGCTATTGGTTGAAGTAAAGAAGATTGTAGAGTTGCATGTGCTAAGAAGGTAGTAGTGGATGAATTATATTTTAGTTTTGTTGAAGGTTGTGGTTTTAGACTTTTTTGCAGTATAGCATGTCCTCAGTTTCAGGCTTCATCTCGGAGGACTCCGTTAGAGACATTTATCACTTGTATTTAGATGAAAAACTGAAATTGAGAGATATCTTTTCTTCTCATCATCAAAGGGTTTCCCTCACAACTGATACTTGAACTTTCATTCAAAATATTAATTACATGTCTCTTACAGCACATTTTATTGATTCTGATTGGACGCTTAATAAGTGTGTTTTGAGTTTCTGTATTGTTTCAAATCACAAGGGAGAAACAATTGGGAAAATGATTGAGATTTGTTTGCAAGATTGGGGGATTGAGAAAGTTTTTACAATCACCATTGATAATGCAAGCTCTAATGATGTNAGTTTTTACAATCACCATTGATAATGCAATCTCTAATGATTTTGCTATTTCTTATCTTAAGAGGAATTTAGTTGATTAGTGTAGTATGAATGTGTTCTAGATGAGAGATATTTGCACTTGAGGTGTTGTCCGCACATTATCAATTTGATTGTTTGTGACAGGTTGATGGAAGCACATGACTCAATTGTGAATATCCATAATGCAATCAAATTTGTGAAATCTTCTTCTGCTAGGCATGAAAAACTGAGGGAGTGTGCCAGGAAAGAAAAGATTGATTGCAAGTCTATTGTATTTTTGGATGTTCCAACTAGATGAAATTCTACCTATTTGATGCTGGAAACATAATTCAAATTTGCAAAAGCTTTTGAAAGGTTAGAAGAAGAGGATGCTCAGTATTTGCATTACTTTCGGGAAGACGGGTTGTAGAAAGAGAGGTGGACCTCCTTCAAGTTTAGATTGGAAAAATGGATATGTGTTTGTCAAGTTCCTTGGAAATTTCTTTAATGTCACTTTGAATTTCAGTGTTTTGTTGCACGTTAGTGCTTGTACTTAGCTTCATGAAATTTATAATCTTGTAATGGAATTGGGTGAAATGACGACTGACATGAAGAAGGAGGTCGAAAAGTATAGGGGTAAAATGGAAAATGTAAATAAGTTGTTGCTTATTGTTACTATCCTTAATCCAAGATACAAAATGGATTATGTTGAATAATGTTTTAGTGATCTATACAGGGATGATGAAGTTGTTAGTATCATGATAAAATCTTTGAAAGTCAATCTA